CAGGAACTTTGGGGGTGGGAGGCTGGATATGTGTAGCTGGGGTTGGGGGGGGATATGGGTGTGTGACAGAGAGACAGAGAGAAAGAGAGAGGGAAAGAGAGAGGGAGAGGGAGAGAGTGCTTCTCAAAAAATTGTAAAAAAATATTGTTTTTATTTGCTAAATAAATGAGTAGATGAAACATCCATTTGAATTTTAGACTCAGACTTTCCACTCAGGAAAGATCCAGAATAACACGGAAGAAAAAAGGCTATACAAAAAGACAGTTTGAACCTCATTCATTCCAACCACCCTCCTATGTATAGTAGACTAATAAGAGATCTCTGCTTAAAGACTTTAAACAGAGAAGTTACTTCAGGCCTCTTATTTCATATGACTCCCACATGTAATTCATAACTATATTCACCTATTATTTATAATGTACAATTACTATGGTACTTCTTTACAATTAATGAACATTAATATTAATGTTGTTATTAACCAAAACTTTATGCTCTATCTATATTTCCCATAGTTTTTCCGAATGGGGAGAAAAAAATGGGGAAAAGTTGATTGTTGGAGGATATATTGTTGGAGGATATATTGTTGGAGGATATATTGTTGATATAGGAGGAAGAAAAAAAATTGTGGTTCTATTGCATAGTAGAGCGATTATACATAATAAAATGGTCATTTCTATGTTAAGAGAAAAATTAAAAGATAGAGTTTTGGAGACTTTCACTGCAAAAAAGCCTTTAATGATGGAAATTGATGTTTTCTTGCTGATTTTCTGAAATATCATATGTATACTAAATAGTGATGGCTTTAAAATTTATAAATATTGCAAATTAAACACACATTTGAAAACTGGTGTCAAGATATATTTTTTCTGAAAAAAATGTAAAATAGATGGGATGAAGTTTGTCATTTTCTTCCTCTTACATTTGAACTTTGAGGGTCCTAATGTTATCTTCCCAATTTTCCCTATTTTTATGTATTTTCCTTGACTTTATATCATATTTATCTGTCATGTGTAGGTCTTTGATGTGACTATAAAAAATTATTATATAAGTATGCAGCTCAGTGGTTTCTTGCAAGGAGCCAATTATCTCTAACATTTGCAGCCCCGTTTATATTAGTGAACTTTTTAATTTAAATATACGTTTGTTTCTGAGATGCCTTTTCTATTTCATGGATCAATTTTTTTATTGTTGCATTAATATCATAGTTTTACTACTATATACTTTATATTGGGATCTTCTCTAATCAGGTATGGATTGTGTAAATGGCCAGTAAAAGAAAATTTTGCTCAGCAAAATGTTCTTAGACATTCAAAGTAACAAGATCGAAACCTTCCTTAAGACCCATTTAGTATCATGAATCGAGCATGCTATTTGATGAAACATCCCCGCACTCTTCTGCCCAAACTTCAAGGTACCGGACACCCAACAGATTCAATTGTTATCTCAACTAGCTCCATTATCCACCTCTTGGTGTTTCTTCATGTTGTTCATTTCAAGAATCAGAGCAAAAGATGGGTACTACAGCAGTTCTGTTGTTAATAATTACAGCTTAAAATATCAGTAGTTATTCTTTAAAAGAGACTTCAGGGAGATACTTAGAATTACTGAAAAGTATCGTATTGCTAAGGTATATGTAACAGTTTCATTAAGAGTCCTCCTTTTATTTGGGAAAAGAGATGCATAACGTAATGTATCTTTCTGGTATGATAGTCTCCATTTTACAATTCATCTATGTATCATGTATATATCTATGCATACATATATATACGTGTGTGCCTATATATATTTATCTTTTACTTTGCATAAAGTTTGCCTTAATCAGAAAGAATATCCGATACTTGGCCTTTGGGAATTGGCTTATTTCGCTGATCATAATGACCTCTACTTGGGAGTATTTTGTTGTAAATGGTAGAATTTCAATCTTTTTAATGGCTGAGAGATATTTCATGGAATAGATATACCACAGTTTGTCCATTCCTCTTTCAATGGGTATCTGGGTTGTTCCCATGTTTTTTGTTATTGTATTTTATTATGCTGCTATATAGTGTTGCGGGTCACTCTGATATGCAGAAAGGAATTCATATGTCTAAAGTGCAAACTTTTTCCTCACAAGCATGGTTTGTTTCGCTCAGAATATCTCTTCTTCTAGGCCCTGCAAAGTAACATTTACATTTCCTCCATAACATCTGAATAGATTTTAATACTAAGCCCACAGTTTCTTCATTTATTTCCTCTCATTCATGGTTCAATATACATTGCCTTACTTGCTACAATAGTTTCTCCCTTGTCTGAGGGGGGTTATCTTGAAGACCCCCCAGTGGATACTGAAAAACAGTCCCTGTATATAAGCATTCTGATATTTCAGCATCGCAACAGTACATGTGGCATGTGAGAAGGTGTCAAAGTGACAAATGAGCAGAAAGCATACACAGAGTGGAAGTGCTGCACACAGAGATGTTTCATATTTGCAGCAGGATGGAGTGGGAGGACATGAGATTTTATCACACTGCTCAGAACAGTACACAGTTGAATATTTACAGTTTATTTCTGCAAATGTCTATTTAGTACTTTCAGGCCATGGTTTAGTAGAAGAGGTTCTAGGACATATGGTCAGTTTGAAAACTGCGACTGCCCCAGTCACATCAGGCAGTTTGTCTGGGATTGAGGAATTTTCCAGGACTTCTCAATCAGAGCTAAACCCAAGAATGTCACAGAGAAATATAAGTTGGCCATTATACCTGTGGAAATCAGTTAAGTAATTATAGGAAGACAAAGAATCATTGCCTCATTCCCTATGTTAAAGTTAACACAGCTAACACTTTTCCACTAAAGCAGAGACTGATGTTCTGGCACTGCAGGTTTGGCTGACACTAGCATCCCATGTGGGTGATTAACCATGTCCTGGTTGCTCACTTCTGGTGCAGCTCCCTGTTCAAGGGTCTGGAAGGTAGCAGAGAATGACCAGATGCTCAGAGCTGCAGCCTGTGAGGGATGCACAAGTGATACGCCAGGCTCCTGGCTCGTTTGATCTGGCCCTGGCATTTGTGGTGATCTGCAAAGTGAATCAGCCAATAGATCTTCCTCTCTGTCTTCAGCTTTGCCTTTCAAATAAAGAAATACTATGAAAAATCATTTTTATGGAAGCATTCTTCTCATAGTCTTCACTAATTACTGAAATTTACTTGGATCACTTGCCATCTTTCATTTGGTTGGTTTATTCAGTTATTTTTTCTTACTAAGTGAACACATATTGTTCAGTTTGAATCATCTTGGCATTATGGGAACTGACATTATAAAATCATGATGAAATTTTAATGCACTGCTATATTTTCTCAGTTATTTTCTATTTATATCTACTTTCATAGTAAACAGAATTTTTCATAGTAAACAGAATTGACCTACAAATTTAATTCTTCATATCCTTTTTCTGTTTTTCTACAATTATGTGTAGCAGAGAGATATCTGCATTTGACCATTTCATTGAATTCTTCTGCAAAACTATATTGATTGAGAAGCAAGAGATATTTTGAGAATCTATTTCATTTACTTTCATGATTATTACTCTATTCTACTTCGCCTACAATTTTTGAGGGCTTTTTTTTTTCCATTTTCAGGGAAATCTGTCTTTAATATTATGTTTTCAAGTCTCAAGTATGAGATTCATCACACTTTCATTATTCTTAAAAATCTGCACTCTGTATTTGTTCCAGGCACTTTTTAGCGTATGAACTATCTTACTACTTTTACTTAGAAATTATGTTATCATTTTTTTGTTTTATTTCTCTTTTGAAAGACAAACATTTTGCTTTGTTTGGTTTAAAACTGTGACTCCTTTGGAATAGTATTTAATCTCATTGGGTTTAATTCTGCTTCCAAGTTTTTTTTTTTATTTTGAACTTCACCTCACTACTTCCTTGAGCACTTAATTTGTTTCAGTAGTTCCTATTCTCTGATAAATTCTTCAAATCCATTAGTTTGCTTCTAATCTGCCCCCCACGGTGCTGACATGTAATGTTTTCATTACCATTTAGCCTAAATATTTCATCAATTTCTTATTATTCTGCCTTTTGTTTACTTAGTAACTTTTCAGTTTTTTATGTTCCTAATTTTATAAAATATGTACATATTTCATGTCCTAAACATGTAAGGGAGGAAAAAAACTTACCCTCTCTCCTGAAGCCTCAACATTTGAGTCTATGGAACAGACAGTAGACAGGTTAACAGGGGTAGGAATACGCCAACCTTGTTATGGGTGTGGGCATATTACAAAAAAGAACAGTGAATCCTCCAAAGGCCAAAGAGATCTAGGTTACCCTCTTCCCAGGGAGAGTGGAGGGGAAGTATAGGTCACACAAAGGAAAGTAAACAATTTGGGGGAGAAATGAAAGCGTCCTTAAATAATAGGTTACAGCCTGACAAAGTCTTCCCTTCATGAAGTCAGCCTGCAGTTCCTTCTGCTACACAATCAATTTGTGCATGGCTGAGGATATTCCTGTGGAGGGATTTATGACAACTGTGGTTTTGCTGTCTTTACTTAAACAAGGGAATTTCAGGGAAAGTCCCACTTCCTTCACTTGAGGGCATAAAGGACCAGGGGGCAGGGGAAGTTCCGAGTCCTGAGTTCTGCAGTTCCTACTGAGCATCCTATTTCGCAGCACCATTTTCTGAGCCCCAACGTGATATTGATCTTTGAATTTATTAAGACTGTTTCATTGAGTTGGCCTTACGAGAACTTGATGTACTTGATTACAAATTTACATAACAGTTTCCACAGATATAGGTTGAAAGTTATTTTCCTTTTTTTTTTTTTTGGTATCTTCATGCATCAAGTGTCACTGTTGAAGTCTGATTTCATCACTAGTTGGCAGGTGTCTGGTTATCCACTCCTCTCCTGACAAGCATCGAGGTTGATTCCATGTCTTCATTAATGCAAACTGTGCTGCTGTAAATATAGGATTGCAGATTTCTGTCTCTCAAACACAGATTTCAATCCCTTTGGAAAAAATATGGAATGTTTCACAAATTTGTTTGTCATTCTTTCGCAGGAGCCATGATGCTCTTTTCCATAGCATTCCAACTTTAGTGCATGTGCTGCTAAAATGAATACTCTGTCTCCTAATCTCTCTTCATCATTTCCTTTTATTTCTTATTTTGAAATGTGTTCCAAGAGCTTCTCAAGTTAATATTCCTGCTCATTTGTTTGTTGTTTATTCATAGTTATCTGACTTATTTCACATTTTCAGTATTTTCCTTTATAATAGCAAGGAATATGTAGTCTTATTCTGTGTATTCTATTAATCCATTTATTAGTTATTTGCTGATTTTGAAAGACAGAAAGCAAATGAGACACACACACAGAAAGACAGAAAGAGAGAAAAAGAGAACTCATTTTCGGATTTGCTACCCAAATAATCACAATGCCAGGGCTAGATTAAGTCAAGATCAGAAGTCAATGATAGCTTGTATCTCCAAACTGAACAGCAGGAACTCAACTACTTCAGCCATCACCAACCGTCTGCCATGGTACACATCAGCAAGAAAGTAGAGGCAGGAGTGGAACCCCGACTGGCACCAAGGTTCTCTGATACACCGTATCCTAAAAGGCGGCTAAATTGCTAAGCAAAACATGTACGTCTGTTCCCTAAGTCCTGTATCAACTTGGATGTATGTTTTATATTTGCCGTTCCTTGCTAATGATTGTTCCTAGATGTTATATCTTTTTGTTGTTTTCTCTCTAGACTAAGACATGCCCTGATCGATAGCATCTCACTGAATATAAGGTGAGATTCCAGACACTAGAAAAAAAAAACTCAAGTGACATATAATCGAGCATAGCGCTCACATAATAACCATCTTACTCTTCATTAGTTTATGTGATAAAACCTGTGCACCAGTTTCCAAGAACTGGTTTTACTTATAAATACAAATGATTGATGTAGTATATTTTTTTTACCGAACGGAAGTACAGAAAAAATTAAAACTAGAAGTATCTTTCCTAACAATTTTGGAAAGTCAAATGAACCACTTCCTATTGATATTACTGTCTTTGGTGCCTGAATTCACATTGTATTTCAGCGAATGTATTTCAGAAGACACCAGAATATTGCAATTAAGTTAAATTTAATTTGGTTATAAAAAGATTTTCCTTACATACAGATTTATTTACTTGTTTTTCAATATTTTTCCCAAAGGCATTCCTAGTTTTGAGAAGAAAACAGGAAAACATCTTCCACTAATTAACAATATGTAGCACTCTAAAAGGCTGTCTAATGGTGAAAAAAAAAAACCTATTAGCTGAAACAAAATGTATAGGCTACAATAATCTATGAAAATTGGTTACCTGGCATGATAGAGCTTTCATGAAGAGAGGAAATGGAAAGATAGTTATGTAATTATGAATATTAGATATCTGTCTAGGACAACTTCTGTACTCAATTTCCTGTCAGTAAAGCAAGAGCACTATTTGGTTCACATATCCCCCCATATTAAAGGTTAAATAGCCACTTTAAAAGGGAATACATTTTTATGGAGGCATACTTGTCAGCGAGGTCAAATTCTAAAGCTGGCACTTCCCAAAATCATATGACCTGGACATTTGACTTCGGGCCATTGTGCCTTTATTTTCTCATCCACAAAAAAGAACTGACATTAGCAAATACATCCCTATAGGAATGTTGTAGGAATTTAACCAGAAATTTTATGTAAGATATATAACACATTGTTCCAATCTCAAAATATAGCTGTTATCAGTGAAAAAGACTATGAAGTGAGTTGCATATCTTTTTAATATAGTACCTACCTCTTAAAGACTGTTAGGGATTGAACCAACCTTTAAGCATTCCAGTTGAATATTTTTAAACCAGAGTCAGTAGATTAAAGGCAGTTCAAAGTCAATTTAGAGCTCTGAACAGAAAGGTAATATAGTCAAAGTGTGCCCATACAAATAAACATAAAAATAACTTAAAAAATAAGATCTGAATCTCCACAATCATGAAAAACCCGTTGGCAGCATAAGCCAGAAAACATGTTGGAATTTTTGATTTTTATATGATTTGAGATAACAACATAAAATTCATTCTTGCGTTTTCAAACCTATGACACTCCAGGAAGAGGTCATATAGATTTTCCAGAATAATGTGTAATTCTTCTTTAAAAATGACTATTTTATTTTTATTTGAAAGGCGAGTTTACAGAGAGAAGGAGATCTTTTATTTGCTGATCCACTCTCCAAATGGTCACAGCAGCGAGAGCTGAGCTGATCAGGAGACAGGAGCTTCTTTCTGGTCTCCTATGTGAATCCAAAGGCCCAAGGCTGTGGGCCATCCTCTGCTGCTTTCTCAGGCCCTAAGCAGGGACCTGGATCAGCTGGATCAGCTGGATCGGAACAATAACTGTGTCTCAAAGACAATGTTTGTGATCATTTGTTACATGGTAATAGAAAACTATTATGGTGCTTATGAAAATAATTCTAGTCCAGAATGATCTTTTCCGACTGTCATTTATTGCAGTGCCTACACTTAGGTTTTATTTATAACTGATTTCTTAAAACCAATGATTTTTTTTAAAAGATTTATTTATTTTCATTGGAAAGCCAAACTTACAGAGGGAAGCAGAGACAAAGAGAAAGATCCTCTATCCACTGGCTCACTCCCCAATTGGGAGTTGGTTGGAGCTGAGTTGATCCAAAGCCAGTACCCAGTTCTTAGGACCCTGGAGCTTCTTTCAGGTCTCCCATACACTTGCAGGGTCCCAAGGCTTTAGGCCATCCTCTACTGCTTTCCCAGGCCACAAGCAGAAATCTGGATGGGGTATGGAGCAGCTGGGATATGAATGGGTACCCATATGGGATCCCAGCAGTTGCATGGTGAGGACTTAGCCATTAGGCTACTGTGCCAGGCCCTGGCTTACCTTTTTTGTTTTTTAATGACAAATGGAAGTGTGGCAGGAATAAGTATGTTCTTAGGTGGAAACAGTGAAAGGTAAGTACCAGTGCATACAGTGCAGGGATGGACTCACAGGGAAAAGGCTAATAATCTCCTACACTGTTGGGAGATACCTCAGTGGCAGCATGATGGACTTGTGAAACCAATGATTTTGTCCGACTGGTACAAAGTAATCTTTGCACGACCACTTCAGAAATCCATTTCCCAAAATAATTCTGATTATATCAAAATAAGCCTCACTTCATGTTCTCCTCTTCCACCTTTCTATCCACATTCTGCAATGTCTTCTGAAGAATCAGACACAAAGAAGAAAGGAAAAAATGGAAAATGGGGAAAGAGAAATGAAGTTGAATAAATCTACTTTGTCATCTACCATGATTAATATTTTCATACAAATGACTCCATCTAATCTGTTATGCGAATATGATTTTCTCTATTTTATACAATGAAAAATACTCTGGAAGAAACTGAACGGAATTATTCAGTGTTGTGGTGTTATGTTGACAATAAAAGACTCCACAAAAGTTCCTATAAGTTTTCTTCTAAAGTCAGCTATGCTCTGAAATGTTTCATTGCATGTATTTTGTTGTTGTTGTTGTTGTTGCTACTGGCTTTATTTGGAGAAGCAGAGCACCAGGGACAGAGGACAGCACCCATGTGGAATGCCAGTGCCACAGAGTCTTCGCCTGCTGTGTCACAATGCAGGCCCATCTTTAACCCCGGAGTGTTCCATATTGATGTAGAGTCAGCAACCTCCCTATTTTAGCAATGTATTTTTCTGGTCTTCCTTGTCCTCAGAAAAGGAGACCCAAAGCACTCAGTACCGCTTGCCATTAATTCGACCCTGCTATTTCATACTACATGTCTATCATGAAACCAGAGAAGGGAATCAGACGATGCCACTGCAGTGAAATCTGTGCCTGTCTGTTTTGCAGTTTCTCTCTCATCTCTTCTCGCATGCTTACCCTGTCCTAACATGTAACAAACATGCGAGCAAAAAAGTCACTTTTACCCAAATTAGATTCTCTGTGTTTACAAAGTATTAAGTGGATCCCACTTATACAGAAGTGAAGTGGTGGTTTCTATTACTTTTAAAATGAGTTTCCCATCCGTCCTGAAAATTTTTATAAATATGAGTTGCTGTTATTCCTTCTAAACAATACTCAAAAGAAACATTAACTTTTGGAATCATGCAAACTGGAATCCCATTGTGCAACTTACTAGCCATGTGACCTGGGACCAATTAGTTACTTCTCAGAGCTTCAGGTTTTAAAATACATGCATACATAATACAAGTATTATATTTTTTTAGATAATACATGGGGAGTGTCAAATGTGGCAAACACTCAAAAACATCAATTTTTTGTCATTGTTAAGAAAAAGAATTCCAAGTCTGTGGTAAATACTGTAATTATGTTTTATTAGATGGTGGAAATGTAATCTGAACTAGACCATCTGAATGTGGAGAGGTTTGAGAGTACAGGCTAACCAGGAAAATAATGAAAGGTGGAGGGCAGAATGATAAACTATTGGAAAACTTAAAAGATAAGATTCCCATAAGTAAAGTTTCCCACAGGGGGAGGCAGAGCAATGCCTGGCCCTGTGCCAGGTCTTACTGCATATATTATTGCATTTGAAACTCATATCACCTGTAGGAGAAAAGAATTGCCTGGTCCATTTTCCAGAAAATAAAGTTGAGTTTTACAGATTAAATAAATCAGCCAAGACTGACTCTGTACAGCTAATAGATCGCTTAGACTTTGCAACTGTCTTACACTTTCTATTTTTACATCATCCTCCTTCCTCTAATGCCTTTCTCTCCATGATTTTATTGAACTGCTGCCACTTCATTCTGAGAAGAATTTTGGAAGGATAAGAAAGACGATGAATTAGAGGATCTACCTTTAAAATTTTTATTAGAATGAATATTTAAACCTGTCCAAGATGACCTGGTTGCTTGGGATCAGGTTTATCTGATTTAGCATTTTGCTGTATTTTCCTAAACAGAGGGTAAACATTTTTGCCAGTGACATTTTTCTCATATAGCCAATGGCTGCATCACCATATTTCTTTAAATGGTACGTCCCTCCAATCCCATATGTAATCTTTATAACAATCTGCATGTTTCCATTTTAAAGAATGCAACAATTTTCACTCCATAGTC